GAACAAAAAAAAAAAAAAAAAAAAAAAAGGAAGCATCGCCATTAGTCTCCCTCCAAATACTCCCTCTTGAACTGAACACATGTAATCATTCTTGCCACGTTAGTCAAGGCTGGCCTTAAACTCACTGTGTAGCCCAGGCTGGCCTTGAACTCTGGGCAGTCCTGCCTCAGCCTCCGAAGTGCTGGGGCTGCTGGCATGCACCACCGTGCCCAGCTTGCAGACAGTCCTGTGACAGGTGACAGGCTCACAGTGGGCCAGGGAGAGGGACAGGGCCTGTTCCGTGCTCATGTTCTTTTTCCTCAGGACCCAGCCTCCTCCCAAGCTCCCCGTGGGCCCCAGCCACAAGCTGTCCAGCAATTACTACTGCACGCGCGATGGCCGTCGGGAAGCTGTGCCTCCCTCGGTCGTCATGTCCGCACAGAAGGCGCTGGCAGCGGGCAAGACAGCAGACAGGTGAGGACCTGCAGCAAAGTCCCCTCCTGCCGTTGACCCTTCCTCCCTGGCCGGTGGAAAGTGCTGCACAGGATCCCATCACTAGGCCGGGGTGCCGCTCTGTGCCGGGGCACTTGCCTGGCAGGTGTGGGACCCTGGGTTCCGTCCCCGTTCTGAAGGAAATGTCCCGTTTATTGAGCCTGTGTGGCCAGGCGAGTTTTGTCCTGCAGCTCATTCACTCCAGCCTGGCTGCAGACACGGCTAAGGGCCCTACGAGGGACGGGTGTTAGGAGTCTGATTTCTTCCGGAGCCTGAGGGAAGCCTGGACATTACTATGATTTGTCATGTTTTGTTCTTGGTGGTGCCAGGGATGGAACCCAGGGCCTCGTGCGTGCTAGGCAAGCGCTCTACCACTGAACTACACGCCCAGCCCTGTAATTTCCTGATCTTAAAGAGAAAATTATATAAACCCCAAAACTGGGGCCCTCAAAACCCAGCCCAGCTGCTCAGGAGGCTGAGGCAAGAGGATCGCTTGAGCGCGAGTTCAGTGGCTGCCGGCACAGCGCAGCAAGACCCCCTCTCAGAACAAAACAAAATAGCGAGCAGTGAGCCAGTTTGGTGCTCACCTCTGGTGCCTTCTCATAATTAAATGGGGACAATAATGGTAAGCCACTGAATGTATAGGACCGACCCCTTCCCTAGGTCCACAGTCCAAGCCATGGAGTCGTCCAGGCAGTGGTCAGGCTGTCTAGGGAAACCGGTGCCTGCGTGCCTGGCCTTCTGGGACATCAGGAGAGAGGCCAGACCCGGGACCCCAGCGAGCCGGTTTCAGCTGGCACGATAAGTCCTGCGTGTTCACCTCTGTGAGGCAGAGTAACTGAAATGACCCCACTGCTTGTTTGGTTTCTGCTTTCTTTAGTCCTTTCCTGTCTATAAAGCCTACTTCCTCCGCTCCCTGTATCAGGATACTCGCCAATTTTATGGGGCAAAGTTCTGTAGAGCAGTTTTATAGAGCAGTTTTCACTTGCTGTTCAGTGCTTGGGTCACAAACAAAAGCCAGTTAAACTCTGTGAGGAAAATGTGCTATAATGTTGTCTTTGGCTTACTGGGGATCAAACGTGGGACCTTGTGCTTGCCAGGCAGGCGGTGGAAGCACTGAGCTAAATCCCTGGTCCCTATTTTTCTTTTTTTTTTTTTTTTTTCAGCTTTAATTGAGTTTATTGGTACATTTTAGGGATACAGTACAGTTACATTCATTGTTGGGATCTTGTACCTCTACATGACAGGGCTTGATTCTCATTTTTTCCCCTTACCTCTGCCCTCCCTTCACCCCCTCCTCCCCTCCTGTTTTTCTTTTAAAGAGACAGAGTCGGGCTGGGGATTTAGCTCAGTGGCACAGCACCTACCTGGCAAGTATAAGGCCCTGAGTTCGCTTTCTGGTACCCAAAACAAGAGTCGCCATGCATGGTGGTGCACACCTATAATCCCAGCACTTGGGAGGCTGAGGCAGGGCGATCGCTGCAAGTTTGAGGCCAGCCTGGAATACATAGTAAGACCCTGTCTCAAAAACCCAAAGAAAGAAAGGAAGGAAGAGACAGAGTCTCTTTATGGTAGTACATACCTGTAATCTCAACATTTAGGAGGCTGAGGCAGGAGGATCACTGTAAATTCAAGGCCAGTCTGAGCTGCATAGGGAGATCCTGTCGCAAAATAAATAAGCAAAAGACAATTTTTTGTTTTGTTTTGTTTTTTGAGACAGGGTCTCATTGTATAGTTGAGACTGACCTGGAACTCACTATGTATCTCAGGCTGGTCTCAAACTCACAGTGATCCTGCTGCCTCATCCTCCCGAGTGCTGGAATTACAGGCGTGTGCCACTAAGCCCGGCTCTAACAAAAGACAATAAAGAGACAAGGTCTCACTAAGTTACCCAGGCCAACCTTGAATTCCTTGACTCAGAGTAGCTGGGGCTATAGACTTACATTGCCATGCTTATTTCTAGGCTGGCCTTGAACACACTCACTGTGTGGCCCAGACTGGCCTCAAACTCATAGCATTCCTCCTGCCTCAGCCTCCATCATGCTGGCAGGATTGCCGTGCACCACTGCCCCCGGCTCAGGTGGGTATATTCTAGGGTGGCTTGGCCACACTGGATCCTTCTGCACTGTCCTCTTGAGGCTGAGTGCTGACTGAAGTGTGTCTTCCTCCCCCAGCTCAGCCGTGGCAGCCCCTGAGAAGAAGGCTGTGACTCCCGGTCCTCCCTTGAAGAAGTGGGAACTGTCTCAGGACCAGCCTTACCTGTGACTCCATGTGCCGGGTCCCCTGACTGCTTTTCCTCTTTGGATTTCCTCTGGGCACAATGTAACCTAATTTATAACAAATACACAGAACTCCATACCACTTCCATTTTTACTTGTTTTGTTTTTGACAGGGTCTCTCTATGTAGTTGAGACTGACGTGGAACTATGTAGCCCTAGCTGGTCTTGAACTCACAGTGAGCCTCCTGCCTCAGCCTCCCAAGTGCTTTTGTTTTGTTTTGTTTTGTTTTTAAATAAGAAGCCAGTCCTCATCGCCTTGGCTGGTCTTGCAGTCCGGGGATCAAGCGATCTTCCTGCCTCAGCGTCCTGAGTAGCTGAGATAACTGGCACATGCACAGCCATGTTCAACCATGTTTGGTTTTTAGTGACTCCAGCTTACTTGGACCGTGGGGCGAAGCTGGTCTTGTCTCCTGCGCTCCAGGGTGACACTGACCCTCGTGCAGAGTCCTATGATGTGGTTCAGGGGTCCAGGGGTATCACCATCCTTTTTCCAGGGGCCCCTCCGGGGAGTGTGAACTGCAAAGGCTGATGGGAGAGAGCTCTCTGCCCTGGCTCACTGGGGCCTCCACTGTGGCTCCCAGTGGAGGAGGCGGCGGTGGGGGTGGGGCTCACCCAGGGCAGGGCGGGAATGGCCTCCCGAGCCAGAGCCCGAAGGCCCAGTGGCCCGGTGCCAGACGCCACCTCCAGAGGGGGAGGCGGAGCCAGCATCCCGCCCAGGACTGGATGGAAGGCGCCACCGGGCTCCTTGGAGGGAGGCAGGGCCAGGGCAGTGTCTGTTGCACCCCCAGCGATCTGCGATCTTTCAGGAGTTTGGGAACCCGGCCTTCTGCCAGGGCGGACACAATGTCGCCCTCCAGAAGCAGAGCAAAGGGTCAGGTGTGTGTGCACCAGGGCTGCCTCCCAGATGCCAAGCACCGCAGGCCTTGTGGGGCAAGAGGCCAAACGAGGAGCTCCGGAGGAGAGGAGGGCTGGGCACGGTGTGCAGAGGCCACCAGGAAGGGCCCCCGGGGTGCCAGCAGGCCACAGGCAGGGTGCAGTAGAGCTCTGGCTGCCCGTTAGCCTGGCGCTGGAGGGAAAGAGGCCTGCCCCTGCCCCTGCCCCTGCCCCTGCCGAGCTGGTGGGCCAGGTATGTTTGAGGGGCTACACCGCCTCAGCTGTTCCCCGGCAGGTAGGTCCGGGATGTCGGTCCGTCGCTGGCGCTGAACCCGCCCATGTGTCGTCGCTCCTGCCTCCGTCGGGCCGAGCCCTTGGTCCTGGGGCAGGGTGTCTGCGCCCTTGCTTTCCCTTCCCGCTGCCCCGCTCGCTGCCCTTCCCTCCCCGTCTCTCCCCACACCTGGGCACCCAGTCAGGTTTACACAGTGAAGCGAGCCGAGCCGTTAGCTGGCAAAGCAGCTAAAATCCTTTCGGGAAACTGGATGCTGAATGCAGGCTCACACGGAAACTTGGGCGAGGGGCGGCTCACCGCTGCCCAGGGGTCTCAGTGCTGGGGGACAGTGGCTGCCTGGGACCCCGCTGCGGGGAGGCGCAGTGGTTGCCTCCTGAAGGCAGAACTGTAGACGTTCGAAAGAAAGCAAGACTGGGCAGAAAGACTTCCCCGGCCCACTGTGCGCTCCTGGGAAGAGAACCTTCTCCGTGTCTTCCTGCGGGAGGAGGAGGAGGTCGGGATAACACCCACTTCCCTGGGCTCTGCGGGACTCAGGCCATGAGGTCACTTCTGGGGGAGGGACAGGGAACCCCGGATGGAGGGTTTTTCCCCCCTCTACAGGGAACTGAACCCAGAGCCTTAACTTTGAGCTCCATCCCCAGCCCTTTATTTAGTTTTAACTTTGAGACAGGGTCTTGTTAAATTGCCCAGGCTGGACGTGCGTTTGGGACCCTCCCACCCCAGCCACCCAGAGAGCTGGGATTATAGGTGTGCACCACCTGTTCCAGCTTTTAAAGCATGTTTTGTTTTTTTCCCCCAGTGCTGGGGATGGAACCCAGGGCCTGTGAATGCTCAGCAATTACCTCACCCCCGAAGCACGTGACTTGAGCTGGACGTTTTAGTCAGGCACTTATTTACCAAATTCTTAAGAGCCTATTATGTTTCAGGCACTGAAAGCAGTGAGCGACCTGTCCGTCCTGGAGCTGGGATTCTAGAGCGGAATCAGAAATAAACCAGAATAAGTCAACAAAATGTAAATTGTGAGACCAAGTTAGCAGGCATTACCCTCTGGCTAGGGCTTCTGCACCCAGTCATGTAGAGGCCCTCAAGGGACAGAGTGGCAAAAGGTATGGTATCTCATCGGTACAGATTGCATTTGTCATAACTCTACCAAATCAAGACTTCTAAAGGTGGGCTTGGTAGCACACACCTGAAATCCCAGCACCTGGAGGCTGAGGCAGGAGGATCTCTGGGAGTTCAAGGCAAGCCTGGGCTACATAGTGAGACCCTGTCTCTTGAGACCCACCTGGAGCTTACTGAGTAGCCCAGGCGGATCTCGAACTCACAGCAGTCCTCCCGCCTCAGCCTCCCGAGTGCGCCACCACGCCCGGCTCTTCATTTACTTTTCATTTGTTTATTTTTGAGGTCTTGCTATGTAGCCCAGGGTGACCTTGAATTTGAGGCGATCCTCGTACCTCCGCCTCCAGAATGCCGTGATTACAGGCGTGCACCACCACTCCAAGATTACAATTTTTTAGTACCGGGGTCGAACTCGGGACGTTGCGCTTGCGAGGCAATCGGTGGAACCACTCACTGAGCTAAACCCCCGGCCCAGATTACAATAATTTAACCCCCACCCATATAAATTCTGTCTGCTGCACCAAAGCCGCAGAAAGGAAGGGATAGGGAGTGTCCGAGGGGAGATGTTACCGTATTACATAGAATAATTGGGCCATAACGTGTGGCCATAGGCTTGTGAGGGGCGAAGTAACAAGCAGACAGGAAAAAACTCCTTGAGATTCCCAGGAGTATCCATCTTCAAGCCGGCGCTTTACTTTTTGATCCCCGGGAAAGGCGGGTAGAGCCTGCTATTGTGTGCGCTCGCATTTTAGTATTTACGGTGAGAGGAGCCTCGGGCTCCGGCCACGCCCCGGTCTGCGCGTGCGCGTGCGCACGAATAAGAGCGAGGCCGGGGTGGCGTGCGGCCGGCGCCGCA